TCGCAGGGAGGGGGGCGGGGGGAGTTCACGTCTCAGGGGCCCAGCTACAAACTCCTAACAGGTGGGGCTGTGGGCACAGCCACAGCCACAGGAGCCACATGCATGGGGAGCAAGAGCAGTCAGGCCGGGGACACTGCCTCCCCAGCCCCTGCCCGTGGTGAGGGGGGTCCCCACAGAGCAGGGCCGAGGAGGGACAGGGGAACTGGCCCCAGGAGGTGAGGGGAGACCAGGCCCTCGGGGACTCACAGAGTGACGGGAGCTGCTGGGCCAGAGCCTTAGAGAAACATAGCGAGCAGGAGGGCAGGACCCTAGGGCTGCCCGGGCCAGAGGGCAGGGCTGGGGCAGCCACGGCAAGACCATGCCAGGATGCACAGTGGTGTGAGCTGGGGACACAGAAAGGTGGCTGGCATTGTGCAGCGGAGGAAGAGGACCCCCAGGTGGCGTGAGGGGCCTGTTGAGGCCAATGGGCTGAGTCAGAGGCGAAGGCCATGGGGCCCGGGGCTGAGGGCAGCCAGTGGCGGGGCCCACCGGGAGGTGGATGTGGGCTGTGTGCCCACTGCACAGGCGGCACAGGCTCAACGAGCAGCTCCATGGGTGTGGGCAGGTGACAGGGTCCAGGGCTCGGGGCCAACAGCTGCTGGGAACAGGACAGCAGACCAGCAACTGGAAAGAGCAAAGGTCCAGAGGGGCTGCCAGTGGGGAGAGTGAAGAGGGGTCGCCTCTAGGGGAGGGCTGGGCGGGAGGCTGGAGGCTCCAGGAGCAAAGCGCAGTGCCAGCCGGGAAGGAATGAGACCAGGAGTGGAGCTACTGGGCTGAGGGCTCTGGGCTTGGCAGGAAGCCCAGCAGAAGCTGTGGGAAGACACGGAGCGCAGGTGGAGCTCATTGACCTGTAGGGAGGAGATCTTAGGGAAGACGGGGCAGGGGCTACGGCAGGCCAGGAACTTTATGGACAACAACTGCAGGTGAGCAGGGGGCAGGTGGGAGGGCAGGGGAGCAAGGAGCTGCCCAGGAGCTGGGTGGGAGCTGGCAGAGCTATGCAGCTGAGCAGGGGGCAGGTGGGAAGGCAGAAACTGCCCAGGAGCTGGGTGGGAGCTGGCAGAGCTATGCAGCTGAGCAGGGGGCAGGTGGGAAGGCAGAAACTGCCCAGGAGCTGGGTGGGAGCTGGCAGAGCTATGCAGCTGAGCAGGGGGCAGGTGGGAAGGCAGGAGCTGGGTGGGGGCTGGCAGAGCTATGCAGGTGAGCGTGGGGCAGGTGGGAGGGCAGGAGCTTGGTGGGAGCTGGCAGAGCTATACAGGTGAGCAGGGGGCAGGTGGGAAGGCAGGAACTGCCCAGGAGCTGGGGGGGAGCTGGCAGAGCTATGCAGGTGAGCAGGGGGCAGGTGGGAAGGCAGGAACTGCCCAGGAGCTGGGGGGGAGCTGGCAGAGCTATGCAGGTGAGCAGGGGGCAGGTGGGAAGGCAGGAACTGCCCAGGAGCTGGGGGGGAGCTGGCAGAGCTATGCAGGTGAGCAGGGGGCAGGTGGGAAGGCAGGAACTGCCCAGGAGCTGGGGGGGAGCTGGCAGAGCTATGCAGGTGAGCAGGGGGCAGGTGGGAAGGCAGGAACTGCCCAGGAGCTGGGGGGGAGCTGGCAGAGCTATGCAGGTGAGCAGGGGGCAGGTGGGAAGGCAGGAACTGCCCAGGAGCTGGGGGGGAGCTGGCAGAGCTATGCAGGTGAGCAGGGGGCAGGTGGGAAGGCAGGAACTGCCCAGGAGCTGGGGGGGAGCTGGCAGAGCTATGCAGGTGAGCAGGGGGCAGGTGGGAAGGCAGGAACTGCCCAGGAGCTGGGGGGGAGCTGGCAGAGCTATGCAGGTGAGCAGGGGGCAGGTGGGAAGGCAGGAACTGCCCAGGAGCTGGGGGGGAGCTGGCAGAGCTATGCAGGTGAGCAGGGGGCAGGTGGGAAGGCAGGAACTGCCCAGGAGCTGGGGGGGAGCTGGCAGAGCTATGCAGGTGAGCAGGGGGCAGGTGGGAAGGCAGGAACTGCCCAGGAGCTGGGGGGGAGCTGGCAGAGCTATGCAGGTGAGCAGGGGGCAGGTGGGAAGGCAGGAACTGCCCAGGAGCTGGGGGGGAGCTGGCAGAGCTATGCAGGTGAGCAGGGGGCAGGTGGGAAGGCAGGAACTGCCCAGGAGCTGGGGGGGAGCTGGCAGAGCTATGCAGGTGAGCAGGGGGCAGGTGGGAAGGCAGGAACTGCCCAGGAGCTGGGGGGGAGCTGGCAGAGCTATGCAGGTGAGCAGGGGGCAGGTGGGAAGGCAGGAACTGCCCAGGAGCTGGGGGGGAGCTGGCAGAGCTATGCAGGTGAGCAGGGGGCAGGTGGGAAGGCAGGAACTGCCCAGGAGCTGGGGGGGAGCTGGCAGAGCTATGCAGGTGAGCAGGGGGCAGGTGGGAAGGCAGGAACTGCCCAGGAGCTGGGGGGGAGCTGGCAGAGCTATGCAGGTGAGCAGGGGGCAGGTGGGAAGGCAGGAACTGCCCAGGAGCTGGGGGGGAGCTGGCAGAGCTATGCAGGTGAGCAGGGGGCAGGTGGGAAGGCAGGAACTGCCCAGGAGCTGGGGGGGAGCTGGCAGAGCTATGCAGGTGAGCAGGGGGCAGGTGGGAAGGCAGGAACTGCCCAGGAGCTGGGGGGGAGCTGGCAGAGCTATGCAGGTGAGCAGGGGGCAGGTGGGAAGGCAGGAACTGCCCAGGAGCTGGGGGGGAGCTGGCAGAGCTATGCAGGTGAGCAGGGGGCAGGTGGGAAGGCAGGAACTGCCCAGGAGCTGGGGGGGAGCTGGCAGAGCTATGCAGGTGAGCAGGGGGCAGGTGGGAAGGCAGGAACTGCCCAGGAGCTGGGGGGGAGCTGGCAGAGCTATGCAGGTGAGCAGGGGGCAGGTGGGAAGGCAGGAACTGCCCAGGAGCTGGGGGGGAGCTGGCAGAGCTATGCAGGTGAGCAGGGGGCAGGTGGGAAGGCAGGAACTGCCCAGGAGCTGGGGGGGAGCTGGCAGAGCTATGCAGGTGAGCAGGGGGCAGGTGGGAAGGCAGGAACTGCCCAGGAGCTGGGGGGGAGCTGGCAGAGCTATGCAGGTGAGCAGGGGGCAGGTGGGAAGGCAGGAGCTGGGTGGGAGCTGACAGAGCTATGCAGATGAGCAGGGGGCAAATGGGAGGGCAGGGGAGCAATGAGCTGCCCAGGAGCTGGGTGGGAGCTGGCAGAGCTATGCAGATAAGCAGGGGGCAAGTGTGAAGGTAGGGAGCTACCCAGGAGCCAGGGGGGTTGGCAGAGCTATGCAGGTGAGCAGGGGGCAGGTGGGAGGGCAGGAGCTGGGTGGGAGCTAGCAGAGTTATGCATGTGAGCAGGGGGTAGGCAGGAGGGCAGGGGAGCAAGGAGCTGCCCAGGAGGTGAGTGAGAGCTGGCAGAGCTATGCAGGTGAGCAGGGGGCAGGTGGGAGGGCAGGGAGCTGCCCAGGAGCCAGGAGACAAATGGGCTGGGGTGAGCAGGTGGGTAGAGAGGGATCATAGGGAAGTAGGCCGAGGGGGCATTATTGGCCAGAGGCTCAGTGAAAAGAAGCAGGGTGCAGGTCAGGGGAGGACACAGCAGCCCTGGGCTAAGGCCAAGGGCCTGAGTGCAGGAAGCCAGGTTAAGGGCTGAGGCCCAGGGCAGGAAGGCTGAATGGGGGCTGAGGCCCGGGGCAGGGGGGCTGAGGCCCAGGGCAGGGTGCTGGGCCAGAGATAGCAAAAATGGGATTCAGATGGGCAAAGGCAGAGACTGGAGGACAGAGGCCTGAGCTCCTCTGAATGTCCAGGAAGAGGCTTGGTGGGGAGTGAGGGGCAGGGAAGGCTTGTGGGGAGCAGCTGGAGGGATGAGCCTGCAGGGCACTGAGAGGGAGGGCGCAGCTGGGCTGGGAGCCCTGAGCAGCAGGCAGAGTTTGTCCAGCTGAGCTGGGAGGGAGCTCGGGGATAAGGCAGGGCCTGAGCTAAAAGGAGCCCAGGATGAGGTGGGGGTTGAGCAGGGAGTGGGGAGGGACAATGGAGCATGGTCCTGGGGCTGAGCTGAGGGGGCCACACAGGGGTCCGGGGCACTGACACCATGCAGAAGGCTGCCAAGGCCAGTGCCAGGCTCCAAGCCATGCTGAGTGGGCCGGACTGAGGAAGGACCCGGCAGGAGGGTTCTGGACTAGGCAGGAGCTGGGGCAGCGAGGGGGCAGCGCTGGCAGGGAGGGGAGGGGGGAGAAGGGGCAAGCGTGAGAGACTGCTGGGTGCAGAGGTGCAGCCTGGGCTGGGGGGCTTCATGGAGGAGGGGAGAGGCCTCCCACAGAGGGCTCCAGGCAGGGGTGGGGACCAGGCAGTGCCTAGGCTGCAGCGCTGACACAGAAGGGCAGAGGGCTGTGGGCTGTGGACAGAGGCCCACCCACCTGAGGAAGGGCCTCCTCGCCCAGGGCAGGGCCAGGCAGGGCAACAGGACAGTGAGCTCAGGGGCCCTGGATGCCAGGCAGAGTGAGAGCCACCAGTTAGGGCTCCAAGGCTCAGTGAGGACCCGGGGCTGGGGCGGGGGCTCCAGCCCAGGCAGCTCTGGCTGAGCTGCTGAGCCTGGCGCCCATGGCTGCGGAGGCAGGAGGCCCTGGGTGGCAGAGCCGCACGGGGCAGCCGGTCTGCAGGCTTCTGGGTCTTCAGGCTTCTGGGAGCCCATGGGCCACGGGCACGGGGCTCAGCGCTGTCCCAGGACTAGGCCCCCCGATGCCCTGCCCAGGCTTCGGTAGGGACCCGGGGCTGGGGCGGGGGCTCCAGCCCAGGCAGCTCTGGCTGAGCTGCTGAGCCTGGCGCCCATGGCTGCGGAGGCAGGAGGCCCTGGGTGGCAGAGCCGCACGGGGCAGCCGGTCTGCAGGCTTCTGGGTCTTCAGGCTTCTGGGAGCCCATGGGCCACGGGCACGGGGCTCAGCGCTGTCCCAGGACTAGGCCCCCCGATGCCCTGCCCAGGCTTCGGTAGGGTGAGACCTGGCAGTCACGTGGCCCCTCTCTTACAGCCCCCACCACGGCCCCGTCGGTCTTCCCGCTGTCCCCCAAATGTGGCACCACGTCCGGCTCCACGGTGTCCCTGGGCTGCCTGATCTCTGGCTACTTCCCGGAGCCCGTGACTGTGACCTGGAACTCGGGCTCCCTGACCAGCGGGGTGCACACCTTCCCACCCGTCCTCCGCTCGGGCCTCTACTCTCGGAGCAGCATGGTGACGGTGCCCACCAGCTCGTCCGGCGAGACCTTCATCTGCAACGTAGCCCACCCGGCCAGCAGCACCAAGGTGGACAAGATCGGTGAGCACCCAGGCACGGAGAGACATCTGCTAGGAGACAAACCACGGAGCAGGGATGGCTGCCCCAGCCCAGGGCAGTGGGGGGAGTGCAGACGGTCTCCCCAGGCTGGGGGAGGGGTCCTCTTGGTATCACCACCAGGCCCAGGGTGGGCACAGGCTCTGGAGCCACAGAGGCGGGTGCTGGCCTCAGACCTGCCAAACTCTGGCCCTGACCTAAGCCCCTGCCAGGGCCGTGTCCTGTGGGGCCCCGGTAACCCTCAACCTGCTCTCTCTGCAGTGCCCGTAATTGATAGAACCAAACCCACCTGCCCGCCTCACACGTGCCCACGTGAGTATCCACCCCAGGAGGAGGCCCATGGGGAGCGCCTGCCCACAGAAGGCCTGCCCAGGGCTGACCCCTGGCCGCTGTCTCCCCGCAGCTTGTGAGAACCCGGGAGGGCCCTCGGTCTTCATCTTCCCCCCGAAACCCAAGGACACCCTCATGATCTCCCGGACACCCGAGGTCACGTGCATGGTGGTGGACGTGGCCCCGGATGACCTGGAAGTCGAGTTCACCTGGTACGTGGACAACAATAAGATGAAAAATGAGAAGGTGAAGGCGCAGCAGCAGCTGTTCAACAGCACCTACCGTGTGGTCAACACCTTCCCCATCTTGCACCAGGACTGGCTGAAGGCCAAGGTGTTCAAGTGCAAGGTCAACAACAAGGCCATCCCCTCCCCCATCGAGAGGACCATCTCCAAGGCCATAGGTGGGGAGCAGACAGGTGGGCCCGGGGCCGGGGCAGGGGGGCCAGCCCTCCACCTGGGAGTGACCGTCTGTGCTGACCTCATCCCACAGGGCAAGTCCGGGAGCCACAGGTGTACGTCCTGGGCCCACACTCGGACGAGATGGCCAGGGACAAGGTCAGTGTGACCTGCCTGGTCAAAGACTTCTTCCCGACGGACATCAGCGTGGAGTGGCAGAGCAACGGGCGGCCAGAGCCTGAGACCAAGTACTCCTCGACCCCGCCCCAGAAGGACCAGGAGGGCTCCTTCTTCCTGTACAGCAAGCTCACCGTGGACAAGGCCCGCTGGCAGCGGGGGGACCCCTTCACGTGCGAGGTGATGCACGAGGCCCTGCACAACCACTACACCCAGAAGACCATCTCCCGGAACCCGGGTAAATGAGCAGCGCGTCCAGCGCCCAGCGACCCCCCATGTACATACCCTCGGGCACCCAGCATTCAATAAAGCACCCAGCATGGCCCTGGGACCCTGCGACACTGTCGTGGTTCTTTCCTGGGCGGAGGTCAGGCCTGCTCAGAGGCTGGTCGGCACCACTAGGGCGCGACCCAGAGCTGGTGGGTCTGCAGGCGCCAGGGCGGGACGGCTTCCCCATGACCGGCAAGGACTCGGTCAGGAGATGTGGACAGGGGGCAGGAGATGCCACTCAGGGACAGGAGGGCCCAGGAGGGTGCCCGCCTCTGAGCAAGCCCTGCTGTGGGCAGTGCCTGGTCTCCGGGTGCCTTGTCCACTGGTCTCCAGGGCTCCTGGACATGGATCTGTGCCCACACAGGAGCACACTGGCCCGTGGTGTGGGGCAGGCCCTCCGTGCCCTCGAGACCAAGCCTCCTCCCCTCCCTTGGGCGAGGGGCCTCTGTGGGCCATGTCCCACCTGGGGCCAGGCCTGTCCGCTCATGAGGACACGCACCTGATTGCCCCAAAGAGGCAGAGGCGGGCAGCCCTGGGGTTCTGGGGAGGGACTGTCAGAGGCCACAGGGGCACTGAGCCCGACCGTGGAAAACAAGGCACTCCCCAGACCAGCACCAGTTCACGTGGCCACCTTCACACGCACGCACACACACGTGCACATGCATGCACACACACATGCACATTCATGCACATGCACACAGAGACAGGCCTTGCACTTCAGGGCCTCCCATGAGGCATCCTGCAAAGGCCCAGACCAGAGAAGAGATCGGGTCCTGGGAACCCCCACCACGGACACCAGCCTGACCCCACTCTCCTCAATGCCCCAGGGGTCACTCAGCAGTTCATCCCCACACTGACCAGCCTGGACGCCCCTCCCCCTTCCCAGGCACCCACACCTTCCCCACACACAGAAGTCCTCCCCACACACCCACTAGCCTGGGGCCCACCCACTTGTCCTGCACTCCCAACTCGGACCCGGCTCTGGCCCTCCCCCAGGCAGGGCCCTCCTGCCCTCTGACCCCAGGGGGAGCAGGCAGAGGGGCTGGTGGACGACAGAGCAGGCTGGACTGCGGGTCAACCCACCTTGTCCCCCAGGGCCCCGTGCGGGTGGCAGAGAGGAGGGGACAGCCCGAGTCAGGCTGAGAGCTGGGCCTGAGACAGAGGATGGGGGACCCAGGCTCCATGGCCCTCCCCTCGGCAGGGGCCCCCCAATCACAAGGTGCCCCACACCAGCCCCCATGGCCCCGCACTGACCCCCCTCCCTGTGCAGAGCTGCTCCTGGACGAGAGCTGTGCCGAGGCCCAGGACGGGGAGCTGGATGGGCTGTGGACCACCATCTCCATCTTCATCACCCTCTTCCTGCTCAGCGTGTGCTACAGCGCCACCGTCACGCTCTTCAAGGTGGGCTGCCCATGCGCCCCACGTGCCCCACGTGCCCCACACCATCCCCACGCCATCCCCACGTGCCCCACGTGCCTATGCCCTCCCCACGCTGTCCCCACGCC